ACAGTTTTGGATATAACTATTTGGAAGGAGAGTAGACATGAAGAGGGCAAACCCTAGCTTTTCATTATCCACAATCATTGGATCTTTCTTTCTTTCTTTCTTTCTTTCTTTCTTTCTTTCTTTCTTTCTTTCTTTCTTTCTTTCTTTCTTTCTTTCTTCCTTTCTTTCTTTCTTTCTTTCCTTTCTTTCTTTTTTTAAAAAAAACCCTTTCAATCTTCAACACTCTTTAAAAGCCCACTTCTTAGCTACTGGCCAATCCACATCAATTATTTAAATTCACTTGGTACACACCTTTGTCAACTGGGTAAATTATATTCATTATGCCCACTGCTGCAGCACGCATAAACCAACACCCCTGCATGGCTGAACAGGGGCTAATCTAGGACTGTTGGGAGACAGGTTTGCACACCAAGGTCAAGGTGTCATTTCTCTGCTAATACTGTCTACCAAGCTGATCCCTACAAAAATGCACATAAAAGCAGGCAAGTTTAGCTACTGTGTTGCAAGAGAAACCAGGACCTTGTTAAATAGTTCTCTACATTACCATTTATTCTCTCAAGGGAAGCTTTAAAAAATAATAATAAAGAAAAACAACACATTGGTCTGGCCACCTCATGAATCCAACAAGCATTGATGTGGCATTTCAGTGGAGAAGGAAACTTGGGGGGAAAGCTCATCAAGGTTGTAAGAAAGGCTCCCAATTTAACTGTCCCTATCCCTATTTATCCACCATCCAAGACCATCCATTATTCTAGAGCACTCTGATCTATAAAAGGGGTCAAAGCATCAGGAGCAGACAAAGAGTGAGAACCAAAAGACACCAAGAAACCGATTTGCTTGAGAAAAGCAGCGATTCTCCCTTTCACAGCTCTCCATGGCTGATAGAGAAAATGCCCAAAATATCATCTATGTGACTTAGAGACTGCTTTTTGGGAGGTTAAGAGTAGCACGAAGAACTTAAGATGACGACAAGAGTCTAAATTTTTAGTTTCAAGGTTTCAACAGAATGTGGATGTATTCAAACTTTCAAAAAGGACAGTGTTTAGAAAGGGTAAAACTAGGACACAGAAAACACTGGGAATTACCACAAGCCGCAAGTGCTTCCAACTCCAGGAAATAACCATTCATGTGTTTGCTGGAGGTCACACAATTTTCCCCTATTACCTGATGCAAAATGACTCATCACTTCCCAAAAGCTTCTTTTCAAACCACGATTTTCCCATTTGTTTTGGTCCAATGCAGTCCTATTCTTTATGGCCTATATAGTCTCACTCCCAACTACCCCACGGGGGGTAAAAAAAAAAAAAGAATTCCCCCTAGGCTGGCCCCCAAAACTCAGAATTAAATAAGAGGAGGGGCTGGCAGCCTCCTGGAGACTAAAACAACTTGAGGCTAAATCTACCTTTCCAAGAGTGGAATGTTTATTCAGATAATGTTTGAGAATTCATATTTGCCACAATAGGATAAAAACTAAAAGGTAGAAGTCTCACACTTTTCCTTCTACCTCCCTCCCCTACTGCCCAACCAGGTTCCAGACTCTATATCACTGTCATTACCATTTCTACTAAATGGAGGCCCCTAGGCACTAATCACACTGGCAACTGCGTGGTGACATAATGCAGCACAACATTTCCTCTAAAAAACTGTAGTCCTTTTCTCTCTGGCTGTATTGGTGATTCTCCAGTTACTTCAGTACTTTAAAGGCTGCAGCAGCATGCAAAAGAATTTCATTTTTTGTTTTTTAAAAAAGGTAAGAAAGGCCTTCAGGAGATGGTGAGTTTTATTTTGTCTTGTCTGGATAGAGGTTTTGATTTGCTCTCGAATGTTCCA